TGAGACGCCACCTTCATCTCTACCCGTATCATTTCACTTTATTACAAAACATCACGGAAGAAGACAGGTAGCAACGTGTCACGTTCGCTAACTGGCTGCTGAACAATAAAGAAATCGTTCCCAACATTTTATGGAACGATGAAGCAAATTTTTCTGTGGATGGCATAATCAACAAGCAAAATTGCGTGAAACGGTCCCGTGAAGCTCCTCACGAGTACCTCACCCATAATCTCCATCTCTGTGTGTGGATGGGATTCTCCTGAAAGTGTCTCCTGCGTCCCTTTTTCATTGATGCTACGGTTTCCGGCGACAGTAACCTCCATATGCTGCAGACGCAAGTTATTCCGCAACTCAAGCAGCACAAGAATTCATCGACTGTCTTTCCACCAGTTGGCGCTCCACCCCACTACTCACCATTCCTTAAATTAGTCTGATTGTTCCAACTTGAAATACATACTGAGCAAGAAAGATGGAATTTGTCAAAATATAGGTAGCTCAGGTGCGTTTACTGATGGTTGATTGGATGAAAAGGGAGAGAGAGCGGTTGTGTAAGAACTTCACCCCAGGTGAGCTCATTTTGATCCAAACCGAATGATTAGTACTTCATTTTCAGCCTGAAGAATATTGGCCATAAAAGCACCAGTGCGGTACCACGAACTGTTCAGGATATACCGTCAGCTGAGTAGGCTCTCACGTAATTTCAATCAATTCAAATGCAATGCTTAACAAAAGCCTGATCGGGGGACAAAATACACGAGATTACTGAAACTCACGCAGTCCGTTGCTCTCCATTCTTGAAGACGTATTCACCGTGTCACCGAACAAACAATATCGGGGCATACGTTGTCCGACCACACCAGCACAAACGGGTCCTGAAAGTGGATGATAGAGAAGCATCAAAAACCGTCGCCAGTTTTCCAAGGTGAAGTATGGCTGTGGTACAAAAGAAGTCAGATTTGGACGCCAGAGCAATTACCCGGAAGGGACTGCCCTTGGTGGTGGTATTAGTGAAAGCAACAAATGGGAAATGGACAACAAAAGAAAAAATACGCAAACAGCAAAGTTAGCAGCTACCGCAATCAAACAAGTGACCCCGAGAAGGCTACCAAAAGGGAGACGTTCCAACTATTGTCCTGGGGTCAAAGAGGATGGCTTTCAGGCTCAGCATTCAATTACCTTCGAGGATCTTTGTGCTTTGTCCTTACCTTGAACGGAAAAGTGCAACAGGTCGGAAGTGCGAGAACTTGCTCAATAATGTGCATAATAATGCGCCATTTCCAGGACTAATCAGGTACGTATAGTCCCCGAGGGTTCTCCGTGTTCTACAAGCAAACCAAAAGTTTTCGCAACTGATGAAGTTAAGCACGGGGACTACATGTACCTGACAAGCCTGGAGAAGGACGAAAGAGGTTGTCGAAGAGTTTTCAGCAACCTTCAATGCCATCACGGAAAATTATATTGCGACATCCCCGAGCATGGGGCGGTGTTCGTGCAGCACACGCAGCTGAAGGATACGATAAACCAGAATGCCAGTTGAATCTCTCGTTTTTGTACTAGCGTAATTTGCTAATGAGCATAATTCGCTCATAACTGGCCCTTGTTTTCCCAAATACGAGGGCCATCTTTGGAAAGTACACATGTTAGGTCCTTGTTGAAGGAATAAGGCCGTCATCTGCCTTGATAAGATCAATTGTGGGGTTAAGTAAGCACAAACGACAAACCAGATGCTTGCGAATGCTAGAGTCAAACCAATGTACTTTAGAGTTAACAGTGTGGATCTTGGATCGTCTTGGTCCGTGGTGACCTTTTTGTGTGGCCTACCAAAAAAAAGATTCTTTTGCCCCCCCCCCCAGGGAGTGTAAACATTCTTTGATGAATTGGACAGATTCCAATTTCACGCCGGTTCCATAACGGCAGAAAACATAAACTATTGTCGAGAAATATACTCATTTGCAAATCAATTTGGTTGTCACGAGAGACTCAGCTGAATCTCTCGTCTATGGTGTTCTACAACTGAATGTGCTGTACACAGGCCGCCTCATGTTTCAGTTGGCACGATATTCCAGATATCGATGTATATTTTCATAAAGGAAACTACTCACAAGGTTGCTAAAAACTCTTCGACAGCCCACGACCGGTTTTGCCCTTCTACTTCGGGCTCATCAGGTAGGCGCAGTCCCCGGGTTTCCGTCAACCTTATGATCTACTTGAACCCAAATTACGGGTAGGGAAAAAACCGAGAATGTGGCATTCTCACCAAACGTGAGAAAGCCCAGACTAGATCACCGAGCAACTATAATAGATGTCAGCATAGTCTC